GGAGGGGGGCCGCGGGGAGGGTGGTGGGGAGGGCGGCCCCCGCGGGGCGCGCCTCCCCGCAACCTGGTTGCCGGGAGCCTCTCCTGGGAGCAGCCTGGAGTGACCGCCGGGGTTGGCCCTGCGGGTCTGGTGGCGCCGAGCTCTGGCCTGGGGCGGTTTCACCTCCGGCGGAGAGGGCGGTGGGAGGGCAGCCTCGCACTCCCGGCCTGAACGCGGATGATGGATATGTAGATGTTGACATTAAAATGCTAACTTTTCATCTGCCTTTGCTGATTGCGTTGACGTAGGCTCTGTTTGCAGAATTTCTGCTCACATTGGGCTTTGGAACGTCAGAAATGAGACCTGCCTGTTGGGATGGTGCGCACTTGCATCCTGATAGGTATTTTAGGTGTTTTCTTTGAATGTGAGCGGAAGACTTGCTGGAATGCTGTTAACACTCGTTATAGTTGAATAGAAGGGTAATGGCAGCCTGTGGGAGGGAGGGTAGCGGACTTCCCCTGCCGGGAGCGGGGCGGAACACCGGGTGTCCTGCAGTCAGTAGGACTGGGAGTCGGGTCCCCGTGAGGCCGCATGTAACTTGCAGGGCTTGTGAAAAGTTCAGGTTCATCTTCGGCCGGAGGTAAGGAATATGCGTGTGTTTTAAGTGCCCAGAACGAACGCTGGAGAGCTGGCGGCCGGTGGGCGGACTTGGATATTTCGGTGGAAGTTGGTGGTCTTTCGGGGTGGAAGTGACGGGTCTGCGTGTAGAAGGGGACGTGGTGCTGCTCTGGACGATTGACAAGAGTGGGGGAGACCTGCTGAGTTGTCTGACCGAGAGGTGCATTTAGGGTTAGGCGTTGATTGGTTGTGGGCGGTGAGGCGGAGTTGTGGTAAGATCCTTACCTGGACAGTGGCGAGATCGCGGGGCGCCTTCTACACCCAGGTTCGCGATCGGCCCTTGGTGAGTTTATGGGTGTGGTCCCTTTGAGGGGCCGCGTTCCCAGCGTTCTGCGGGTCGGCCACGCAGGCTGTCACACCCGTGTTAGGGCTCTGTGTTACGCGGGAGCACCCCGAAGGCTCGTGGCTTGCTGAAGGCGCAGGCCTGGGCGCCGCGTGGATGCCACAAGGATTGTGTATTCTTTAAGGTGCTGGGAACAGAAGTCCTGTATTCCAGTGGTCGGGACACTTCATGACGTTTTTGGAGTCTTGAGTGCTGTTCTTGTGTTAACTCATTCATGCTCACGAACTGCTTGCCGCAGCAGCTTGTTCTCCCCTGTTTTACAGGTAGGCACCGAGGCCCGGGAGTAAGTGACTTGCCAGAGATAACACAGCTTGTAAGTTGTGGGACTGATTTGAACCCAGGAAGGACAGTTCCAGAATCTTTGCTGGTGAGACCATGATGTAGTATTGGCACTCATGTGAAATCCTTTGAGAACTTAGATTTCATAGGAACTCCAAAGTTCTGTGGCTTAAAAATATTATTTATTACCGGAACCACTAATTTTTTGGAGTGTTATTTTTTCCAGAATGGAGTGTTCTTAAATGACCATGATACTAAAAAACAACAAAAGAAACCCTGTAAATGCCCCTTTGGGAAATAATATTTTCTTGTGCACATGAGTGGAATTTTTGGTAGGTCCACGTGTACCACACATGGACGTTAAAGGTAATTTACTGTGAGCTGAGGTTGATAGATTAGTGCAGCTGTGTTGGTCTACTGTTTCCTAATGATGAAGGTACAGATTTAACGTGCTTGTTTTGGGGGGAACCACACTAACAGTGGTGCGGAAATGGGGTTGCTTACATTTGAGAATAAAAAGTTCCTATTCTCCAGATTCAGGAAAGAAGACTGACATTTCCTTGGCCCTACTCCCAAGCCTTGAACAAGTAACTACAGGGCGCGTTTAAAACTTGCCCCATCACTGACAGCCTCATTCAGTATCCTCCTGAGTTAGCCAGTCTGCAACAGCCTTCAGGAGCCAGCCTCTGATAATCAGCCAGTCCTTAAACTGGTGCTTCTGGAAGTCCACCAATCCTTGTATGCCATGCTTCTCAAAACTCTGTAATAAGATCAGTGCTTACTATGTAAAGCCATCCTTCTTTGCAAGCAATAAATTTAGCTTCCTTGTTTCATATATATGGATGATGGTGTTAACCTTGGATAATTCTGTTTAACAGCCAGCTCTGGGGAAAGAAGAACCCCAGAGGGTAGAGAGGATAATGGAACTTTAAGGAGGAAGTGAAAGCAAGTCTGATAGAGTTGAGTGGAAAGCATCTAACAATTTTTGTTGAGGCTTGCTCTGGCCAAAGAAGCCAGTGTGGGCTTGAAAGTGACCGTGTGTTTAGTTTTTAGGAAAACCTATCATGAGGTTCTTGACAGCTCCTCCGTTAGGTGAGGCTTTGGGGCTTGAACTCATTCATGACCCTGTGATCAAGACCTGAGCTGAGATCAAGTCAGGCGCCCAACTGACTGAGCCACCCAGGCACCCCTAGGTGAGGCTTTTGAAGGCTAGAACCCAATTCAGTGCGTTTCGTTTTTTTTTTTTAAGATTTTATTTATTATTTATTTGACAGAGAGAGAGAGAGAGCGAGAGAGGGGAACACAAACGGGGAGTGGGAGAGGGAGAAGCAGGCTTCCCGCTGAGCAGGGAGCCCGATGCGGGGCTCGATCCCAGGACCCTGGGATCATGACCTGAACCAAAGAAGGCAGACGCTTATCGACTGAGCCACCCAGGCGCCCCTAGTGCGTTTCATTTTTAATAATTTTATTATTTTTTACTTTATTTCCTAGGATTTAATATTCTTCAGTTATAAAATGCTAAATGATCCTTCAGTCTCTCCTTTTACTGAACCTAAGATCTACTTTTGACATAGATAATGAGATTTGGAAAACTCATTCCAAATTAGCTTCTTAGAAACTTTGTATTTCCTTTTCCCCCTGGGAATTCCTCCCACTTACATGTTAACCCTTCCTCCCCCCAACCCCACCCATTTGGTTCCAATCTACCTTCTTTGGTTTTACTTACTTTTGGCCAAATAATTATTGAGACTTTTCCTTTACGTCAATCATTTTTCAGTGCTGCTCTGTTCACCTAGACTGTTTTGGGCTCTGACTCTAACCCTCCCATAGCCTTTTTGAACCTTTTAGCACTTTCTGCATGTCTTATGATTCCTACCCTGTTTTATTTTATCTCCTTTATTCCCTTATTGTGAACATTTGCTTTATATTACACTCTGTGATAGGCCCCAGACATGCAAAGAAAACATAATTCCTACCCTGAAAAAGTTTAGTCTAATAGGAAAAATAGATATATAAATAGAAAATTGGAACATGGTGCTATGCAAGAAGTGTAAACTCAGAGGGGTACCAAGCATACGCTGGGGGAGGAGGGGTTATAAGAGGGCTGTAAAAGTGGAATTGCTGACTCGTAGACGTTTTCATTTAAAATCTTGGGAGATATGGCCAAATTTTTACTTAGTTTCACTGCCAATGAATATTTTCAATCTTTAAAAGTTATTCTGATAATAAAAGATTGGCATCATTATTTTAACCTGGCGTTCTTTAATTTGATTTGACTGTTTTTTAGCTTTGATAGCTTACACATTAAAAAAACTTTTTGAAATAGTTGCGGATTCATAGAAAATTGCAAGTATAATGCAAAGAACTTTTCCCCCTGAAACATCTGAAAGTAAGTTGCCGAACAAGATGCCACATTACCCCAAATATTGTCTGTTTCCTACAATAAGAGCATTCTTCTCCATATCCAGAATATAGCCATCAGAATCGGGAAATCAGTACATTATTATCATTGATCCTCAGATCCCACTGAAATTTTGCTAGTGCTCCAATAACATTTCTGGTAAAAGAATCAACTTAGAATTGCACATTGTATTTATTTTTAGTCTCTTCCAGTGGGAAACAGTTCCTTAGTTTTCCTTATATGATCTTTTTTTAAAAGTGTGTAATTCATGTAGAGTTGTATAGCCATCACCACAATCTAATGATAGAACATTTCTGGCACACTCCAAAAAACCTGTTTCCACTCCCAGCCAACTGCTAACCTACCTTCTATCTCTGTAGAATTGTCTCTTCTGAATATTTCACATAAATGGAGTCAGACAATGTGAGAACTTTTGCATCTGGCTTCTTTCACGTAGCATAATGTTTTTGAGATTCATTCAGGTTGTGGCATACATCAGTACCTAGTTTTTAATGCCAAGTAGCATTCTTTTGTATGGGTATACCACATTTTGTTTATCCATTTACCATTTGAAGGACATTTGAATTGTTTCCACATTTTGGCTGTTATGAGTAGTGCTACCTTGTATGGTCTGGACACTTCTGAATATTATAGGCTAGTTATATTACAGCATCTATTAATTTGGGCTAAGACATCTACCAGACTTCTTTGAATTGCTTTTTCCTTAGGTTATTTATTTAGAGGGTGGGGAGGGGCAGAGGGAGAGGGAAAGAGAGAATCTTAAGTAGACTCCATGACCAGTGTGGGGCCTGACACTAGGCTTTATCTCACGACCCTGAGATCATAACCTGAGCCCAAATCAAGAGTTGGACACTTAACTGACTGAGCCACCCAGGAGCCCCTTTCCTTTGGTTATTATTAAGTAATTTTTAGGGAGGTGCTTGGAAATCCTGTACATATCCTGTTCCTCATCAGATTTTCAGTGTATTTAATTATTTATATCATCATGGATTTAAATTTATATTCTGTGTTATATTTTAGTTACTGTTGATGTATGCCAAATCACCCCTGAACTTCATAGAATAAAACATTTGGTTAAAACCCAGTAATTCTTTGAATCTGGAGTTCAGACTGGAGCAGGGGAATCTGGGAAGACTCAGGGGCTGGGGTGACTTGACAGCCAGGTGTCTAGAGGTATCTTCACTTACATGTCTGGTGATTGATGTTGGAACATCTCCATGTGGTCTCTCCATGTGAGCTAGTTGAGCTTCCTCATGACATGGTGTCTGGATTCTAAGAGCGATGGTCCCCAGAGAACAGGCAGAAGCAAGTAACATTTTTATGCTCTAGTCTTGGAAGTCACATGGCATTACTTCTGCCATACTTTATTGGTTGAGGCAGCCACAAAGTTCAAGGGGTTCAAGGGGTTGGGCATAAATGCCCCACTTTGGGGGAGGACTGTCAAGATCTCATATATATTTTTAAAAAGATTTATTTATTTATTAGAGCATGTGTGGAGGGAGAGGGAGAGAATGTTAAGCAGACTCCATGCCCAGTAGCAGCCGATGTGGGGCTCAATCTCATGACCCTGAGATCATGACTGAGCCAAAATCAAGAGTCAGATGCTTAACTGACTGAGCCACCCAGGTGCCCCAAGAACAAATTGTAAAAGAGCATGTGGGACGGGAGGTACTGTTGCATTGTGTTTGGAAAATTCGGTGCCACAGTTTGTAATCTATTACTATCATTTATTTGATGCCCGAATTGTCCCATATTTGGGTTGTGGGAATTTATTTAAGTTGGTTTCTTTTGAGTCATTTTGACATGTCTCCCCATTTTTTGAGCAACTTTCTTATTTTTTGGTACAGGATAGTCTTGGCTAGTCTTGTCTTTTCCATGCTCCAGCCCTAGACTCAGCCATTTTTCTAAGGAGCCCTGGTTCTTTTTAATGGAAGGTGGTGTTTAGAAAGTAAGATTTGGGGGGGCGCCTGGGTGGCGCAGTCAGGTAAGCATCCAACTTTTGGTTTTGGCTCAGGTCATGATCTCAGGGTCATGAGATTGAACCCTATGTTAGGTTCTGCGCTCAGTGCAGAGTCTGCTTGAGACTCTGCCTTTGTCCCTCCCCCCAGCACACTTGCTCTCATTCTGTCTCTCAAATAAATAAGTAAATTTAAAAAAAAGGAAAAGAAAGAAAGAAAGATATGGGCCTTAGGAGTGCTCACTGCTGCTGGGGTGTGTAACTGCTTCCAGACTGTCTTCCATCTTCCACAGTAGGCAGAGCTATGGAATATATACACACACATTTACAACTGTATTTTTTACTTATATATGTATTAAAAACAATAAGGTCACACCTGTACCTCCTTTTCTGGTAAAGTACCACAGGGTTTAGTTTAATATTATGCCTTCTTAGATATTTTAAAAACAGCTTTATGGAGATGTAATTTACATACCATACAATTCACCCATTTAAAGTATATAGTTCACTGGTGTTTAGGATATTCACAGAGTTGTGCATACCTCACCACAGTTGATTTTTAGAACATTGTCATTGTTCCAAAAAGAAATCCTGTTCTCCTTAGCCATCACCTTCCATTCTTCCACAGCCCCAGGTAACCTAGTTTTCTACTTTCTGTCTCTGTAAATTTGTCTGTTCTGGACACTTTTTATGAATGGAACCATACAATATGTGATCCTACGTGTCTGGCTTCTTTGACTTAGCATAATATTCTCCAGGGGTAATCCACATCGTAGCACCTGTCAGTACTTCATTTCTTTTTATGGCCAAACATTTCATAGTATGGATAGATCACATTTTATTTATCCATTCATCAGTTGATGGACATGTGAGTTGTTTCTACTTTTTGGCTATTGTGAGTAATGCCGCTGTGAATATTTGTGAACAAGTTTTTGTTTGGATGCATGTTTTTAATTTCTCTTGGGTGAAATTGATGATTCATATGGTACCTATATGTTTCATCTTTTGAGGAACTGTCATACTGTTTTCCAGAGTGACTGCACCATTGTACATTATTACCACAATGTATGAGCGATCCAGTTGCTCCACATCCTTTCCAACACTTGTGTTTTTTCTCTTTTTTTAAATTATAGTCATCTTGGTAGGCATAAAGTTACATATTTCATTGTGGTTTTGAGTTTCATTTCCCCACAGCTAATGTTGTTTAGCATCTTTTCATGTGCTTAATAGCCATTTGCATATTATCTTTGGAGAAATTCAGATCTTTTGCCCCTTTTCTTTCTTTCTTTCTTCTTTTTTTTTTTTTTCAGATTTATTATTTTGGGGGCGCCTGGGTGGCTCAGTTGGTTGAGCGACTGCCTTCAGCTCAGGTCATGATCCCGGGGTCCTGGGATTGAGCCCTGCATCGGGCTTCCTGCTCGGCGGGGAGTCTGCTTGTCCCCCTCCCTCTGCCGCTCCCTCCTGCTCGTGTGCTCTCTCTCTCTCTCTTTGCACTCTCTCACTCAAATAGAAATCTTAAAAAGTTTTATTTTGATGAAGTCCAACTTCTCTTTTTCTTTAAATTTTATTTATTTATTTGACAGAGACAGCAAGAGAGGGAACACAAGCAGGGGGAATGGGAGAGGGGGAAGCAGGCTTCCCGCTGAGAGGGGGAAGCAGGCTTCCCGCTGAGCGGGGAGCCCGATGCGGGACTCGATCCCAGGATCTTGGGATCATGACCCGAGCCGAAGGCAGACGCTTAACGACTGAGCCACCCAGGTGCCCGTAACTTCTCTTTTTCTTTAGTTGTTAGTGGTTTTTGGTGTCTTATCTAAGGGTCCATTGCCAGATCCAAGGTCATGAAGATTTATGCCTGTTTTCTTTTAAGAGATTTAAAGTTTAAGCTCTTACATGGAGTTGTATGATCCATTCTGAGTTAATTTTTGTGTGTGATGGAAGTAAAGAATCCAGCTTCATTCTTTGGCATGTGGATATGTAGTTGTCCTAGCATAATTTGTTGAAAATTACTCTGGGGGTGCCTGGGTGGCTTAGTCGTTAAGTGTCTGCCTTCAGCTCAGGTCATGATCCCAGGGACCTGGGATCGAGCCCCGCATCAGGCTCCCTGCTCAGCGGGAAGCCAGCTTCTCCCTCTCCCACTCTGCCTGCATGTGTTCCCTCTCTCGCTGTCACTGTCTCTGTCAAATAAATAAATAAATCTTAAAAAAAAAAAAAGATAAAAAAGAAAATTACTCTTTTTTTTTTAAGATTTATTTATTTGAGAGAGAGAATGCAAAGTGGGGAGGCAGAGGGAGAGGGAGAGACAGTCTCAAGCAGACTCCATGCTGAGTGCAGAGCCCGATGGACTTGATCTCACGACCCCAAGATCATGACCTGAGCCGAAACCAAGTCGGACGCCCAACCGACTGTGCCACCCATGCGCCCTGAAAATTACTCTGTTCTTAGTGTTTTACCAACTCAGTTAAATATATAGATGTCAATAAAGGTACTCAGTTTTGTTTTCTTTTTTCTTTTTTTTTAAGGAAAAAATTCAAAAATGTTTCAAATTCCTGTGGAAAATCTTGACAACATCAGGAAGGTACGAAAAAAGGTGAAAGGCATTCTTGTGGATATTGGGCTTGACAGCTGCAAGGAGTTGCTGAAGGTAAGAGTACATAAGTGAGATTAAGAGAAGACAGTAACACTAGAGATGCAGGGTTGGCTTTATGGAGGTAAGATTAGAACTGGGAGTGTTTGAGAATGGGTAAGGTTCCTCAAGCTGGAAATTGCTAATATTTCAGATGACTGCATGAGAGCATAATTAGTTCATACTTATGTCTTTCTGACTTAAAGTGAGCTATTTTAAGCTGTTCAAGTTTTTAAAGTTACCTTTAGTTGGGGCTTTTTATAGTTATTAGTTATCAAACATACTTGTTTTTGATCTTCAAAGGGAATGTGTTGAATTGTTATTCTAGCAAAAGATGACCCTAACTTAATCCCCTGGATTGTTGGAGTAATTACCAAATGGGGATTCATATATGATGTGATAGGGCTTTTCTGATTTGTGAATTTAATATATGCAGTTTTAACAAAAGTTTAAAAATTAAGGTCACAGTCACATACTCTGGTAAGGTGTGATCTCAGAATTTTTTCCTTTCTTATAACTTGAGAATATATGGCTGGCATCTATAGTAAAGAAATAGAAATTGTTCAGTAAGGCTTGGTGTGTATCTTTAAAGCCACTGGTAATTCTATGCATGTTTTATTCATAACTGTAAAAGTAAGGACCATGTCTGCTTTGAATTGTTTTTAAACTTATGAACAATTAAGTTCACAGTATTGGCTTGGGAAGGTTTCAGTTTCTTAATTTTCAAATCTCAGACTTTCATCCAGATTGATTTTATTTATAAAAAGGTGGTCTAATACTAAAAGACTAATAATTACCAGGATCCTCATTAATGGCCAGGATTGATTTTTGCCCTCAAGTAGACAAATACTAATTTCTGAAGGACTCCAGGAAATTCAGTGTTCAGACATTGCCACCTCAGAGAGCTCTTCCTCTGAAATGCTGCCTTCTCTATTCTCTGTTGTCTTACCTGCTCTTTTATGCTTCAAAGCTCTCATAGTACCTGATATTATTTATTATCTGTCCCCCCCCATTTGAATGTAAGAAGACAAGGACCTCTTTGTTTCGCTAATTACCTGTGATCAGGATTGTAGTCTGGCACATAGATGTTTAATGTATATATATTTAACAAGTAAGTTTTGAATGAATGAACAAAAGTAAAAACCCAAGTAGAGCAATACTTTCAATAACAGACTGTGACTGAGAGTCCATTTGCAAATAAAAGGATGGGGGAGGTACCAGAGTGGAAGCTCTTGGGTAGATACTTCTGCTCAGGAATAGTCTTAAAGTAAAAGAACCTCAGAGTTCTTTGCATCTCTGTTTATAAGTCATATTTGATGCATGAGGAAGAAAGCAAGGTAATTATTTGGAGATAAGATTGAGCAGGTAGATAGTAGACATGGTCCATTAGTAACAGATAACTCTTGTAAAGTTCCTGGACCCAATTCCGATACAACACCAGGTGTTCTGGTTTCCCACGTGTGGGAGTTCTCTGAAGCGGGGAATCAAATTCTTATGGAGGCTTCATTACATAGTCAGGGTTGACTAAGTCATTCACTGATTCAACCTCCAGCCCCTCTCACCGCCCCAGAAGTTGGGGTAGGCCTGAAGGTCCCAACCCTCTAATCACATGATTAGTCCTCCTGGGAACTAACTGTACCCTTGGGTAGGGTCTACAAGTCACCTTCATTAATAACAAGACATCCATTGCACCTTTATGGTTTTGAAGCATTTTCAGGAACTGTGTGAATGAAGCCCAAATTTATCTGAGAAATACATATTTGGTCATCTGAATGATGTTATATATAATTTCTTATAACTTTCTTGTAAATCATTTTATTGCAGTAAGTACATGTATTTAAGTAATATTTGTAGAGAATATATAAATAAACTAAGAACACAAGTGTATGTAGATAGATACAGGATATTTCAAATGATAATATATGGGAACCCCCTCCAGTGGTACCTGGCACGTGGTAGATGCTCAAAAAATGAACCCTGAAGGTATAGTACTATCCTTCAGTAGACAGACTGAGAATGTTCTTGGATCACTGGGGGGATAAAGAGATGACTTTTATTTTAATCTTGGCTCTTAGCTAATTATGTGCCCTTGGGCAAATCAGTTAATCTTTGGGCCTGTATCCTTATTGCAGTGAAGGAATGTAGAGAATTAGGATACTAGGATACTCTCCCCTATTAGAGAGAGAACAGTTTAGCAGGAGCTGAGAGACCAACTTAATGATAATAGTGAGAAACAGGCAGAAAGATCACTTCTAGCTGGGGAGGCTAGAGTAGCCTTTACGGAGATGAGATTTGAACTGTTTTTTGTTTTTAAAGAATGGGTTAGGATTACCCAGTGGAAAGAATTAGAAAGGATATTCCAGAAACATGGAATTTAAAACCACAACCCAGTTGATTAACCCCCATCAAACTAGGCTGAGTGAATCCAGGAACACATTACCCTTTAACCATATCAAACAGTCATTCTCATTTTACCATGTTTGCTTTAACATTTGTTCACTTTTGTGTGTGTGTGTGTGTAATCAAGTGTCTGTTTTCTAAGAATAAGGATATGTCTCTTACATTACCACAGGATGGTTATCAGCTGAAGTAAGCTGGTATTTTTATCTTGTCTGATCATTTATAGCACTCCTCCCTGTCTGTGATGGACCCAGTCTAGGATCAGGCATGGCCTTCAGTTGTCATTGCTCTTTCGTCTCCTTGAATGTGAATTCACTTTTTCAATGGAATTCTGTTCCAAAATTGGTTTTGTTTTATTCTTAGATAAAACATTAGTAATAACTAAAATTTTTCATCCTGGTATCCTTTGTTTCTGACATTGTATAGAACAATATTCCTCAGTAACTTCTGCTTCCTTAGTCAGCCTAAGAATGTGTTTATTCATCTGAATTTGTTCAAGACTTGTTTACTTTCTTGACTGTGCTGACACAGATACGTACATATTTCTCAAGGGAAAATTGAGAGATTTGAATGGCTTACAACTGTTAAGTTAGTTAGATTAACTATTGGGCTAAATGTTACTAATTCTTTTGGGGGGAAAATTTTGTTTTTTCTAAATCTGGAATTCTGTATTTTATAAAATTGTTTAAAATTCAAGGAATGTGAAGTTCAGTTTAGAAAAATTAGGAAATATACGCAGAAACACAGATACAAGAAGACTCATTTGTAAGCCATTACCCAAAATATCCACTGTTAACATTGTTGTATGTCTTTCTAGATTTTTTTAAGTGGGAGATCAAACTAAGATACTGTACTAGCTTTGTTTGGTCTTTTCACTGAATCTCATATTAATAATTCTTTCCCATGTCAGATGCATTTATTCTTAATCCCCCATAGTACTTAGAATTTCTTGGTTTCAAGCAACAGAAACCAACACTAGACCAACTTAAGCTAAAGGAAATTTACTGGAAGACTGAGGCTTCCGAGTCTGCACTGGTCTGAGACTGAAGGAGCTGAGGGAACACCTGTCCGTGGTTCTTTCCACTTCCTTACCTAGCATTTCAAATTTCAGTGAGGTGTCACTCTGCCTTCTCTGATTTCCAAAGTGTCTGGGACTCTATTTGTCCCAAGAGTTAAGACCTCAGATTTTAGGCTGTATAGTTCTTGTTGAAAGCCTGTCTGAGAAAAATGAACTTTAGGGAAGATAGACTCTTCCAAGAACTTTATCTTCTTTTCTAAAAGTAGATCTAAACCCCGCTACTCATTAGAGTCTCTTGATTTTTTTGAAAGTTAACATTTGATCACTTAAAATAGGGGCTGGCTATGTAATTTACAAGGCACTGTGCACAATGAAAATGTGGACCTGAGCTGGCCCACAGGCCTGTTGTCCCAACCCACAGCATGTGGGCAACTCCCACGGGATAACATCATCTGTGCTAGGGTGCTCGTGGTACCTGGATCCAGGCAGGGTTTGAGGTCCCCACCTTGACCCCTTCTCTCTCTGAGTCTGTGCTATGCTTCCACTGGAGGTGATGATGGAATGTGGACTTCCTGACAGCTTGGTTACTGCCCCAAGTGGTAGAGGAGAGAGGGAGTGGTTGCAGGATGAGGGCAGAGAGGGAGGTTGGGGTGAGTGGGAGACAGAGAGCAGGGACAGAATCTTTCCCAGGAAAACTGGAAGTTGGACCATGTGTGAGCTGAAGTTCCAAGCTCCTGACGTGTGTCCCATTGTCCTATCAGACTTTACTTTTATAAAATACAAATTCAAAATTAAAATTATCATTATTATTTTTTAAAGATTTTATTTGACAGAGAGAGAGAGCCAGAGAGCACAAGCAGAAGGAATGGCAGAGGGAGAGGGATAAGCAGGCTCTGCACCGAGCAGGGAGCCCGACACGGGGCTCGATCCCAGGTCCCTGGGATCATGACCCGAGCTGAAGGCAGACGCTTAACCATCTTGAGCCACCCAAATTTAAAATTATAATATTAACAATTTCAAGATGGTGACAACAGAGCGTTAAACCCCAGCACTGGCCTTTCTGAGCACAGGGCCCTATGTAGCTTCACTAGTCCTATGACTTCTCCTTCCTGGAGAAGCCCTCACTGGTATTTTCTAAGACCTTCTCAGACTTTTTTTTTTTTAAGATTTTATTTATTTACCTGAGAGAGACAGTGTGTGTGGATGCGCGTGCAGGAGAGAGCCCGTGCAAGAGAGAGCACCAGGGAGCCAGGGAGGGGCGGAGGAAGAAGGATAAGCAGACTCCCTGCTAAGCAGGGACCCTGGCTGGGGGCCCGAACCCACAACCTGGGGATCATGGCCTGAGCCAAAGACAGCCAAAGGCAGATGCTTAACTGACTGAGCCACCCAGGCGCCCCCAGATTTTTAAAAATATTTAATAATTTAGTTTATTTAACCTCATATATTAAAAATATTTCAGTATGCAATCAGTATAAAGTAATGAAATATTTTGCCCTCTTTTTTCTCTTAAATCTTCCAAGCATATTTAAAGATATTTTTTATTATGATAAAATATATATAATAAAGAATTTGTCATCTTTCCCATTTTTAAGTACACAAT